GGAGCTGGGGACATAGCTCAGCCAGTTAAGTTCATGTCTAGCACACACAATGCCCAGATTAGATGCCCAGAACTGTGACTACCACCTGTGATCTTAACCCTGGGGAGGCAAAGGCAGGAGGGCCAGATGTTCATAGTTAACCATGGCTACACAGAGAGTTTAAGGCTAGCCTTGGCTACAGGAGACTCTGTCTGTTTTCCTTTTAGCAGGCTGGAGATGAAAGTTATTAGTGAATCATTATAATAGGTAAAGTACAGACTCAGTACAGGACTGCCGGGCTTGCTATTGTGGAGGAGACCTCAGCCAGAGGTAGATTTGCCTCCATGGCCATCAGGGATGAGCTGCTTCCCAGGCACCATGTTCTCAAGACCATCTGCATTAAATTAGGTGAATCCCCTCTGTTTTCTGGTGACCATGGAATTTGAACCTGGCAATACACAGGGCCTTAATCACGTGTTCCACATTCTGCAGCACGGTCAGATGACCTGACCAATGTGAACCCTGGTCACCGTCCTGGAGCTTCCCAAAAGCACCCTACATACCTGCCGGGAGCCTTGGTTGGGGACACAGTTGAGATCAGAGACATGAGTATCCACTAGAAACTGTCTCCAACATGAGAGGCTCGTCTCTTAAAGACAGAGCTGGGAAGGGGCTGGAGAGTTGGCTCATCTATTAGGAACCCTCACTACTTTTGCAGAGGATCTGGGTTCAGTTCTCAGCAACTACATGGTGGTTCACAATCATCCTCAACTTCAATTCCAGAGAATCTAATACTTGCCTCTGACCTCCCCAGGCATGCACATGGTGCACACACAAACATGTGAGCAAAACATTCATACATACAGAATAAAATAATATAAAAAAACATTAAAAAGAAGTTTTAAAAAAGAGTATAATACCAAATGTCACAAAGATAAAGCGTTAGAAGCCCTATTTTTAAACTGTGTGTCGTATGTATGTAAGAGCAGGGAAAAGCACAGGCCATTGTGTGGATGAGGAGGTCTCAGGGCAACTTTTGGGAGTCAGTTCTCCCTTACTACCATGGCTTTCTGGGACTGGCCTCAGGTCTTCAAGCTTGCTCAGCATGCTTGTTTACCACCCCAGCCCCGCCCAGCAGGCCTGTTTACCACCCCCCAGTCCCGCCCAAACATCTCTTTGGCCTGCAGTGAGAACTCTTGCCCAAAGCTAGTAGGATGTATGTCACACTTGGGAGAAACTATCCAATCTGAAGAGCAATTTGCCTCTGTCAAGCAAAGCCAAGGCAGTACATTAATAACAAGTTTAGCTATCCAGATATTCTGTTTCCCATGGGATCACAAGTGAGCTGCCATGCCTAGCTGGCATTTATGTGGGCATTAGGGTTTTGAACTCTGGTCCTAACGCTTACACAACAGCACTCTGAGCCATCTCCCCAATGCTCTCTCTCTCCTCTCCTCTCTCTCTCTCTCTCTCTCTCTCTCCCCCCCCCTCTCTCATGAGTGTGTGGTGTGTGTGTGTGTGTGTGTGTGTATGTGTGTGTGCTCACATTTCACATGCATGGGTGTTGGTGCTCACTTTTTCAGTTCCACCATGTGGGTTCCAGGAATTAAACATAGTGAGTGTATGAGCTTCTGGGCTGGATTTATTTACACATTATTATTATTTGTGGGTGAGGGGAACACACACATATCACAGTGCATGCATGGGTAGAGGTCAGAGGGCAGCTTTCAGGGGTCAGTTCTCATTCTACTGTGTGGATACTGAAAATCAGATGCAGGTCATCAAACCTGCAGCAAGAGTCTCTACCCACTGAGCCGTCTTGCAGGATCTCACTCTAGCACTGGCTAGCCTAGAACACACTGTGTAGAGCAGGCTGGCCTGAACTTTCAGATATCTGCCTGCCTCTGCCTTCAGAGTGCAGGGATTAGAGGTGTGCACCATCACACCTAGAAGGACGAATTACTTTAGTGTCATCAGTAAGACAGAGAAAAATAGCTCATTTACTTAAAATATGGATGTACGTGCTGTTTGTCTGATGCATGAAACACATGTGAAACCCAGAGGCTAATATTGGATGTCTTCATTTGCTGTACACCTTTTTTTTTTTCTCAAGACAGGGTTTCTCTGTGTAACTGCCGTGGCTGTCCTGGAACTCACTCTGTAGACCAGGCTGGCCTTGAACTCGTGGAGATCTGTCTCTCCTTCCTGAGTGCTGGGATTAAAGGCGTGCACCACCACGCCTTTAATCTTTTTGAGATAGGAAATCTCACTGGAACTGCTGCTCCCCACTTTGTCTAGGAAGATCCTCTTGTCTCCAGGTCTTGGTCACTGTTCTGTTGCTGTGAAGAGACTTCATGACCAAAGCAACTCTTATAAAAGAAAATATTTAATTGGGGGCTTGCTTATAGTTTCAGAAAGTTAGCCCATTATCACCATGGTGCAGAGCATGGTAGCATGCAGGCAGGCATGATGCTGGAACAGTAGCTTAGAGTTCTACATCCAGATCTGCAGGCAGAATGGGCCAGTAATGAGCTTTTGAAACCTCAGAGCTCACCCCAGTGATGCACTTCTTCCAACAAAACCATACCCCTAATCCTTCCTGAACAGTCCACCAACTGGGAACCAAATATTCAAAGATGTGAGCCTATGGGGGCATTCCTCATTCAGACTCCACATTCTAGCCCTCCTTCCTCCCAGCGCTCGAATTACAGGCGTGCACTGTCACACCCAGCTTTTTACTTTAAAAAAACAATTTTTTATTTGTACGTATGTGTATGTGTCACATTTGTGTGGTGCTCATGTAGGACAGAAGAGAGTGTCATATCATTTGGAGCTGGACTTTCAGGAAGTTAAGAGCCACCCAATGTAGGTGATGGGAATCAAACTTGGGTCCTTAGCAAGAGCAAGAGCTCTTAATGGATGAGCCATCTCTCTAGCTCCATGTCCAGAACCATGTAGTTTCTAGAGGCCTGCTTGGGACCGCATATTTGTGCAGCAAACATTTACTTTCCTGGCTGAGTTGACTCTCCAGCCAAAGGAATAGTTAATGACAGTCTTAGAGACAAATTCATCTACAACCACAGTGTGTATGGGTTCTGTTTGTTCTTTTGAGACAGGATCTAGCACAAGCTGAACCTCATTGTATAGCGGAGAGTGACCTGAACTCATCCTCCTGCCTCTGCCTCTAAAGTGCTAGGATTCTACCACAACAGCCTCTCAGCTTCTGCAGTTAATGTCCTCTTTGGACAAAATTCTTTTCATGTGCTCATTGAACAAATAATAAGAGCCAAGCAAGTGCAACGGGGGTTTTATAGTAAGTGTTAGATAGTGAAGTTCAGGATAGTAGAACATTCCACAATGGCCTGACCAGGTTAGAGTCGTTTTCCCCTTCTGTCCCCCGGAGATAATTGACCAGACTAGAGAGTTACTCAACCAGAGTGAACCAGAGGGTGAACCAGAACCTGGTCATCCTAGTTAAGTGTTCTGTGACCTTTGCAATGCAATCCTTCTGGCAGTTAGTCTCTTTACCCCAATTTCTGCTTACACAGAGAGCCAGCAGGAGTGTGGAAGAGTGGACATTCTTTTCTCAAAGGTATAAGCAGTAAACATGAGCCTCACTGATAGGACGTCAAGCAGGACCATGCCTGCCTGTGAGACTGAAACTCTGTGGTTAATTTTCACAACAGAAACGGTGAAAAGCCTCAACCATCCTGAGTGCTGGCTCCTGCTTCCAGGTGGTGAGGACTCTGCAATGCCCACACTGCTCATGCGTGCTTCCCTCCACGTTTTGAAACGATCTGTCTAAAAGTGCTCAATTTCAATTTTGCAATTTGGTTATTCTTTTATTTTGTCATAATTTAGGAATTATTCATCTTCAACATTATTCAATTCAAAATGAGTTTCCTAAAGCACCTCCTATGTGCCAAACTCTAGGAATACAGGTCAACACAAGAGTCTCCAGGGTGGTGAGATGGTTCAGTGAGTATGAGGGCTTGCAGCCAAGCCTAATGGCTTGAGTTTGATTCCTGGGCCCACATGGTAGAAGGAGACATCTAACTCAACAACTTGTCCCCTGACTCCACATGCATGTGGCAACACATCCATACATGCACACACAGAAATGAAGGAAAGAAGGGAGGGAGGGAAACAGAGTCTCAAGTATCTAGCCCAGGGTGGCCTAAACCTCACTAAGTAACTCATCTAACTCAAGATGACCCTGAACTCCTGATCCTCCGGTGCTAATCCGCCTCCCAAATGTGTTGGCAAGTGAGTTGATTTTTTTTTTCCAACAGGATTGAAGGCAGAAGAACAGTATTCCAAAGTAAGACTCCTTGCCCTGAGAAATCACTGTTACTTTTTTCCCCCAAGCCTTCAGACATTCCGTGAAGGCCTCTTGCCTCAGCAGGCCCGGAGGCAATGATGGTCCTATGGTAGGTATTTCCTGTTCCCCTAGAGAAAGAATGTGAAAGAGGACACCGAGCTGGCATTACAGCCAAGGTGGCCTCATTGAGTAGTGTCATCAAACCCATTCCTGGCAAACTGATGGCCAGTCCTGGGGCAAAGGCAGAACACTGCCATTCTGGACTACTGAGCTTTCTAGTGCCACGTAAAGGTCCTAGTCAACGCAGCACACCACGGCTACTGGGCGCGAAGGGGGGGTGCTGCCAGTGCACCTCGACAGTTGGGTGAGGTGTTGGAAGAGCCAAGTCTCTCTTCCATCAGGTGCCAAAACCTGACAGCAGGAACTTGGAGGACGCAACTGCGTCCCAGCAGCCGTCACACAGTCACCCAAAGCCGGGGGCCCAGGACCCCTTTGGAGGGCGGGGTCGCGACCCGGCCTTCTTGACGGACAGCCGCCTCGTGCGCTGGGCAGGCCCCCTCGCGCAACGACCACGCCCCCACTTCCGGCCGGACAGCGGTCACGTGCCTTGAGACCCCGCCTCACAGACGCGACTTTTCCCCAATCTATCTCTCACTGAGCGGGCAGTGCCTTCCCTTCGCTTCCCTTCCGCCGGAAGTGGGGCGACTTTCCCTTTCCGGCTACGGGTCCCGGAGCGGAGCGGGAGGCCGGACCGGGGAAGCGGAGCGACGGCGGCGGCGGTGGGGTTGGCCATGGCGGAGCTGGTGCAGGGGCAGAGCGCTCCGGTGGGCATGAAGGCTGAGGGCTTCGTGGATGCCCTGCACCGGGTCCGGCAGGTACGGGCGAGGGAGGCCCGGGCTGGGGGCGGGAGACCGCCTCGCCGACGCCTAGGGTGGGCGCCTGGGACGCGGGAGGCCCGGGCGGTTCCCTCAGGCGCCCCAGGCCCGGAGAAAACCTTAGTCGAGAGCTTCTGGCGCTTGCTCGCCCGGTTGCATCCACAGGTCTGCCAGCCGGGGTTCAAATCCCAGCAGCTCCTGGTGGGCACTCGGCTTTAGACCCTGAGCATCCATCTCACGCCCTAGACGTGGCTCCTGCAGCCGTGGAAAACTTCATCTTTCACTTGCTGCTACATTTCAAGCGGATTGGAGGAAATTCGAGAAAATTTTATGCTTAAGAGGGTTATATTTTTTTTTTTTGCAGAAAGGAGAGAGGAGGTGTTAAGTGGGTGGTCCCCAAGAGTTCCTTCTGCCGATAGCCCTCCTCTGCTGGGAAAAGTGTGGGATTGACTCGCTCCGACCGTGAAACTTTACCATCTGGCAATATCGGGCGTTTTGTCAGTGAAACTGGTCATTTAGAGGACTTGAGTTTCCCTGGAGAATGAGTGTGGGACCTCTCTAGCTCCTGGCATAGTGCCTAGAACAGAATTGTCCTTGTATCTTGCCTGAAACTTAGTGACAAGTTACCCTGACGCTCAAACTTCCCTCTGTTCAGTGATGTTTATCTTCTCTGACTTTGTAAGCTCTCTGGTTCTTTGAAAGCTGGACTGTAACTAATGACGGGTTGATTCCTAGCAGAATGCCACAGGGCTCGTTCTTAGGAAGTCCTCACCTGTGCACGTAAAAATGGGGCCTTTTTATCACCTCCTAGTAGTCCTGCGAGGGAACTCCACCAGTCTCCCATAGAGTTTGCATTTAGTAGTAATGGTTCAGTAGACATTATCTTGGAGCCTAACACTTCCCAAATGTTGGGCTCACCCAAAATTTTCTCTAGGCCATCCGGTACAATAGCGAGCATCCATCTGTCTTCTTTAGAGTTACTCACCAGTTATAATGGATAAACATTCCACCCAGTTCTCCGGCCACCACTCTGCTCACTGGCACTTTCTAGTGTTTTCTTCTGCCAGACAGAGTCCTGAACCCTATTTTGTACTGGATTTCCGTCTATGCCAGAGTGTTGGTTTTCTGTGACCCCTAACAATTGCAGTCACTGCTTTAGAAAGTTCAGGTCTTTTGCTTTTGCTGTGGCCCTGTAGTTGAACATAAAATGAATTTATTTATTTATTTATTTATTTAATTTATTTATTTTGGAGACGGTTTCTCTGTTTAGCACTGGCTGTCCTTGAACTTGCTCTGTAGACAGGCTGGCCTCGGACTCAGATCTGCCTGTCTCTGCCTCCAGAATGATAAAATGAATTTTTAAGCATTGCTAAGACTCTGCATCCCTTAACTTGCTCAAAGGGGTGCCTTCTGGTAAATGCTGCCTTAGTGTGGAGCGCGGATGAGGGAAAACGATCAGCACTGTTGTTACTTCTGAAGCACACCAATGTCTGGAGCAGCAGTCGCGTGAGCTGCCTCTGAGTGACAACAGCTGGAAGGCCATGCAACCTTTGAAGATTTGAAAGGGGTTTTTAAAAAGAGCCTGGCATAGTAGTGCACGCCTTTAATGCCAGCACTCAGAGGCAGAGGCAGGTGGATCTCTGTGAGTTTGAGGCCAACTTGGTATACAGAGCTACTTTAGGACTGCCAGAGCTATATGAGACCCTGTCTCCCCGCACACCCCAAAATATAGGGGTTGGTGGTAATTTGGGGGTTATTTTAGTAGATTACATTGGATAAAACTGGAACATTAGAAATCAGTATTGTGGAACTCTACTCTTGGAGAGGACCTGGATTGTATTCCCAGCACCCACACAGTGGCTAACAAAGCTACGAAGCTCCAGTTCCAGGGGATCGGACGCCCTTTCTGGTACTGCACATAGGTTGTGTACAGACATGCATGCATGCAGGCAAAACTACACACATAAAGTAAAATTATCTTTTAAAAAAATCTGCATTGTATGTATATGATAAAGCTTAGCAAGGGAGATTCTGTTTGAGTATCTGAATGGTCAGGGTTCTGTGTCTCCATTACATGCAGAGAGGGCTGCCAAGATGAGATGCCTCCCTCAGCCCAGGAAGTGGGAATAAGATTTTGTTTTGTCCTGTTTGTACTGGGAATTGAACCAGGGACCTTGTACATGATAAGCAAGCCTTTCAACATACAATGAAAAAGTGTTGAGGTCTCATTAAGATGCCCAGGTTTGCTTTGTACTCAGGCTTTTGCCTCATCCCACATAGGTGGGATCACAGGTGTGCCTCCTAAGCTATATTTCTTCATTTTTTCTTTGTTTTGTTTAGCTTATTTATTTTTATTTTATGTTCATTGGTGTTTTGTCATGGATGTTGGGCTCCCTGTAACTGGAGTTACAGATAGTTGTGAGCTGCCATGTGGGTGCTGGAATTTGAACCCAGGTCCTCTGGGAGAGCAGTCAGTTCTCTTAACTGTTGAGCCATCTCTCCAACCCATATTTCTTCATTTTTAATAAGCATAGAACTTTCTCCCTTTTTGACTGATCTCATAAATACCAGTAACAGGAAGGCCTTTAGTTTTTCAGAGTAATGAGTTGTCTTGTGTTCAGTTAACATAGCAAGCTCTAGTAATACGAAGTGACCCTTCTGGAATTCAGTCTGTTAAGCCTGTTGCATAGCTTTGTCATTTAAGCCACTGAGCTTCTTTCCTGGTGTCTTGAAGTATCTTTATATGGGTGTCTCCATGCTCATAACATCAGTTGATGTTGCTGGTAGTGTGCTTGAATTCAAAGGGATTCTCTAAAGATACATAGGAAATTTACAAATATTTTCAGAGTGGGCGTCCAGTGGATTATTGTGTGTTCTGAAGGGCAGTGGGAAAGGATCTAATTTGAACTACTGGTAAAGTCTAAGACAGCTAGATATTCGTAGAGTGTCATGACTAGTTTTTCAAGTCATTGACTGCTTAGCAAATTCAAACGTTTCTTCAGCTAGTTTAGAGATGCTAAGGGTGTGGACTTGGAGCCAAAGCCCATCTTCCAGAGTCACAGTCTGCCCTGTGCCCTGGCATTGGTTACAAGAGGGACCAGTGGATATGGGTCTGCTTTGCTTTTAAAAGTTTTTCTGGGGATGATTCAAAAATGCTTCCTGACTGAAGATATAGCTTAGTTGGTAGAATGGTTGCCTAGTGGGCGTGTTATATATATATTGGGTTCAGTCCCCAGTGCTATATAAACAAAGCATGGTGGCACACATTGTTATTCCAGCACTTGACAGATGGAGGCAGGATGATTAGGAAGCTCAAGGTTGTCATCAGCTATATAGGGAGTACAGCAAGTTTGAGTCCAGCCTGGACTACATGAGAATCTGTCTAAAAAGAAAAAGTTTTCAGAAGGTCTATTAGCATCAGTCATCCAGTGAAGATGGTAGCCTGTTCACAGGGTCGTATGCCATCACGGTGTGCGAACTACCAACAGCCTCCCACTAGCTTTCCTAAAGATAGGTTCATTTGCCAAAGTCAGTGTGTTTTAGGACTTTTTTAAGTTCCTGTTTGTTGTAGAGGTGATTTTGTTGAGGCAGGATTTTACTGTGGTGTTCAGAATAGCCTCATGCTTAGTTTCCTAAAGAGCTGGAATTATGGACTTAAACACCATCAAGGGCCTATGCATTACCCAGCTCCATAGTTAGTGTATGTATTCAAAGTGCAGTATAAATAGTCTTCAGGAAGATGGGCACCATGCCTTGTACCCAAGTAAAAGTGACCAAACCATTATAAAATTGAGAAGGCTAACAGAATAGCTTAATAACTTAATGCCACCAAACCTGAGGACTTGAGTTCAATTTCAGGACCCATGTGGCACAAAGAGAGAAGTAACTTCCATAAAACCTATGACCTTCACATGGGCACCATGGCACATGTGCAACCACACAAATAAATGTAATTTTAGGTCAATAGAAGATAACCTTTTAGGAAGTTTGTAGACCTGGAAATCCAATCATTACTGGCATCTTTGTGGAGGAAATAATTGATTAGTGTGTGACCTCAGAAGTTCAGCTTCCTTGTGGTGCTGCATTTCCTACTTTTGAGACTGAGAGTGAACTGCTTGGGCTAAATGTCCTTTTCCCTGGGCTAATGTGGCGCTTCAGTAAAACAATATTGGCAGAAGCAGCAGATTTCATTTAAAAGAACAGAATGTGTCTGCTATTAGCAAAAGCTCCATTCCCTGGCTATTGGATGCACCTTGACAGCTCATGCCTTTGCCCGTTTAATATGTGGGTCTGGTTCATTACTCACTTGAGCTGCTGAGTGCTGAACAGAATGAAATTGTGTTTTGTTGAAATCAGTGCCTTGTGTCTGTATACTCCTTTCATCTTTCCCAAATGCTTGGGGGAATCCCTGACCTGCTCCTGAGACTTTGCTCTGGTGGGGCAGTGCTGAACCTTTGCTGAGCCAATAAGAGTTTCAGCTGGTGGCTGCCCTGTGTTAGTGCAGCAGTTCTAATCTGTGAATCTTGACCCCTTTGAGAGTTCCTTATCAGGTAGTATCTACACTACAGTTCATAATAGTAGCAAGGTTACAGTTAAGTAGCAACAAAATAATTTTATGATTGAGGGTTGTGTCGCAAACTCATGAGGAAGGTTGAGAACCATTGTGCTTGTAGAAGTTGGAAACTTACTTGGTATTGAAAAGAAGATAGTAAGTTAACTGCGTTCCATGGTACACTTTATAGATTTTTCTCACTTCCAGTGGAATTTACACAAATAACAAGGAGTGTTTGAAATTTGTCATTATCTTTAGGTTTCACAGCCCACTTATGTTACCAAATTTTGCTGTTTTTTGAAGTCCCAGCTATGTAGTAAATACCATGACCACAGCTCTCCAGCTAGTGCCTCGTGGGCTGGAGAAGACCCCTAGAAACCCGCAGCTGTGTCTTGTCTCACCCATGCTGTAACACTTAGAAGCTAGTGCGGTTTTACATACAGATCTA